GAGGAGTAGGAAAAAAGACAAGCAGACAACGCGACTGACGAGAGAGAAAGAGAGAGAGAGAGTAGGGTGAAAGGAATTGTAAAGACTAGAGTGAGTGCAGGCTATGACACTGTCTCATCAAACAGCTGGACCTCGCCCAAGTTCATCTGTTAATGGACAACCACCATAGGGCCCCAGCAGCACTCCACCTTCAACCAGCACCTCCCTCACCCCCTCAAACCCTCGCAGCTCGCTCTTTCTCCAAAAAAGAAACAGACGTAGATTATTCTAAAGCCTTTGCCTTTTTGTTGGAGATAAACAAAGTACTTCAGGTTCAGGGCTCACCCTGGGACTCTGACAAAGCAATCTATCATCCTGTCTGGCTCAGCCAGTTTGACCACACTAAGCCCAAGGAGGCTAATGGGCCCACTGGACAATTTTGTCTTTGTGTGGATGCCCCCTCAACTCTGCCACCCCCATTCCAATGCCCCCTCACAGGCACAGATGTGCTTGACCAGGCCCTCTGCAACCTGGATCCATTCCTTCCTCGGTTTTATCACATACAGTGGGGTCCAAAAAGTGAACATGCTTCTATTAGCATTTTTGTAATGTAATAAAATATTTTTAATTGCAGATTATATTATCAGATGATAATTTGAGTGAAAAAATTTAATTAAATGTGAACATGAATTTCAGAATTTTTTTTCGTTTTAGCACTCAAGCTGCATGAATTCACATCAGATTATTACGTTCTCCAGAATGATCCAAAAAGCATATTTGTGTTCTATTAGAAGTAAGAACATCTGATTGAATGATTTGCATGATCAATACGACAAATCTGCATATTTAATAGTGCAGAATCTTCACATTTCTTCATCCTTTTAAATCATAACTTTAGAATTTTCAAAGTACAAAAACATTATTTATTCCCAGGTTTAAATTTGATTTGTATAGCAGATTTTTTACGTGGACACTGTCGAAGAATTAGGAACGAAAAAGAGAGATACAGCAGGGGAGAGAAGAGATAAAAAGAATGGTTAGCATTAGCCTCAGACGTGTCGAGACACATACGGCTTCTGGATTTTCCCTGGAATGACATGCAACGGAGAGAATGAAACTCAAGAGAGGGAAAAGTATAAAAGGACAAGGGAGGGAGAGGGAGAGAAAGCACAGGAGAAAGGGGGAAAAGAAATGGACTTAAGAGTATTTTAGTACTTGCTTGCGGGGATTTTCAAACAGAGGGTGATTTTACTGCAGTTTTTGTCTCGCAAACAAAGACAGCATTATATATTATTTTCATACCTTTCCTCGGTTAGGTATTACATTTATCATATTGTCCAATATTCTTTGCAGTTGATAAATAATGTGGAATATAAAGACATGTCACCCATTCTATTATAAACCTTAGAAAGTTCATCCCCCTCTTTTTGGGATATATTTGTTGAAAAAAAAATGCAATTCTGTTGCCAAATGCTGGGATTATTTCAATAATAAATGTAAAACAACAAAGAACCAAAAAATGTGGCAACATATTTCATTAATTTCTTAATGTTTATAAAATACAACTGACTAAATTTATAATGTGTATCTTTAACTACATTATCTTATGAACAACCAGAAACTACAGTGACTTAGGTCTTATGAGCCACAGAATGGTTCATGAAATTGGACATGCTGAAATAAATTACTTGCAGATCAGTAAACAAGTCAAATTAAATTAGAAACTGCTGCAACTGACATATAAAAATGTTGTGATTTACTAAAAAAAGAACTGACTCATAAGTGTCATTTGCTTGGGAATCAGACATCACTGGTTGCGCAGTGTGTTTTTGATTCACTAAAAAGAACTGGCACATAGGAGTCATAGGCTTGGAAATTGGTCTGCATCGTCTGCATCAATGGAAGAATATACATGTGAGAACTGTAAACAGATTCGAACATCATGAACGTCAAGTATTTATTTTTAAAAAATGGAAATGGTTCTGACTTGCAACTCTTGGTTCCCAGCTATATTCTAGAGTAAACACATAGTGCTCACTTTTCTTCCTTTACAGTAGAGACTATGTCACCTAATTAATATTTATTATCCAGGCTGATGAAATTTATAATATGTCTCCTCCCACTTTTCAGATCGCTCTGTTTCTGCTGACAACTGATACAAGGATTAAGGCAGCCACAACATGAGCAGGTCGTCTATATATCATGCGTGGTCCAAATACACAGGTAAAGCCCCACTGCGTGTTTATGCATGCATGTGTGTGTGTGTCTGTGTGTGTGTTGTATGAGCTCAGGCAACAGACTAGAGACAGCAGCACCCATCAGGGATAGGTTCCTGTTCAGAGCACAAACAGACACGGTTCACAACCCCCACTGTGAAACAAACAGTCCAGAGCCTCTGCCAGGATCTCATCTCACACTTACACACACACACACACACGAGCGAATGCATGCGGCACACAACAGATCACACAAGCTGACTGCAAGCAGTCCAGAGCAAGACGTCTCAATCAAACAACAAACATAATTCCCAAAGGATGACAATACACTCTCTGCTGTACAGGTGCAAAGAGATGGTGACAAAGAGGGAAAAGAGCTTAAAGCTGAATTGAGGACGGAATTAGACACAGATGGCTGAAGAGAAGACCTCAGGATGGAGAGATTGATAAAGTATTTACTCTTTAAGTCCGCAAATCAAGGAGAAAAGAGAACTAATCAACCCGTATTACAGAGATCAGACATGCCGGCCGGGACGAAGTCAAACGGACAGCCAGCGCTTTTCCCCTAAACATGCACAGCCGTTTCGTTCTTTCTTTACCCATTTTGGGACGATAAATTATCCATTAGATTTCATCATATCTTACTAAGGCAATTACATCAAGAAAATGATAGCGCGTGTGGAATCAATTATGCATGCCCTTGGCCGGAGACCAGAGGCTGGGAAGTCGGAAAGGGCAGATCCACTCCGCACATGCACACAAACACGCACACACACACGCATGCATGCAAAGAAACCCATACTACACCACGCTACACACACACACACACACACATACAACAAAAAAAGACCCTGGATCTCACAGATGTGCCCCATCAGTTCATCTTACTGCTTAAAAAGTTCATGCACTTAATAATTTATTTGTGTTCTGGATACGGTTTCCCAGCTGAATATTAACAACTTTGAAGTGTGCTCACAGCCAGGGTAGGGCTAAAGGAGTCCGGA